AAAAAAATTGAGATTGAAATATATCACTTCATACTGTTGAATCAGTGTTGTTGCCAACTCAATGCCCTGTTCTTATGTATTCATAAAAAGGGGTAGAAGAAATAGCATAAACTTGGAGCGAAGCCCACGGGAGATAGGGATACTGTTGGAGAGCCCCACCCATTGCCATTGAGTCGATTCCGACTCATAGAGACCCTGTAGGACAGCGTAGAACTGCCTCATAGGATTTCCAAGTTGTAATCTTTACAGGAGCAGATTGCCACACATTTCTCCCATGGAGCAGCTGGTGGTGGGTTCGAACCGCTGACCTTTTGGTTAGCAGCCGAGCACTTAACCACTGCCCCACCAGGACTCCTTGTTGAACAGCAGTAAGTACTTCTCAAACTGAGATATAGGGACTGCTTGTGTCAAAGTTCCCTGAAGGGTGCACTTTAAATGCAGATTCCCAAGCCACGGGACTTTTGAATCCAAGTTATTGGAGAGAAAGCCTGGGAGTCTGCATTTTTTTTAAAACAAACTTCCCTGATAAGTCTTGGGAGTCCTTAGGTCTGAGAGCACTGATCTAGGCACTTTGCAAATGTCACCAGGACTAGATGAATCACTTCAAAGGGTGATGAAGGAACCAGCAGATGTGTTCTCATAGGCAATCTGGTAACCTTTAAGAAATTTCTTCTGAGTATGGAGAAAAGGCAGGAGATGGGTCAATAGGGTTCCAGTTTGAAAAATGGCAGTGTCTTTAGCAAATTGCCCATGAGGCATCACATTCTGGTTTAATGCTTATTCAATAATAAAACTACTTTCTTAAAAAAAGAGAGAGAGAGAAGAGTAGATGCCAGAAGCTATAGACTTGTAAGCCTAACATGACCTCTGGAAAAATTCTGTTTCAGATAGAGTTAAAGCATTTAGAGGAGAATGTGATGATCACTGGGTGTCATCATGGGTTCACGAAAACATCACATCAGAGATTGTCAAACTTTACTGCATATTAGAATCATCTAGGGGAACTTAAAAAAATCCCAATGGCCAAGCTAAACCCAATACCTCAGAATTTCTGGACATGGGACCTGGCCATCAGTGTATTTTTTTAAACCCCTAAATGGATTAAATGGAGTGCGGCCTAGGCATTACGATTTTTTTTTTTTTTATTGTACTTCAGGTGAAGGCTTACAGAACAAATAGTTTCTCATGAAACAGTAGTACACGTATTGTTTTATGACATTGGTTAACAACCCCACAACATGTCAACCCTCTCCCCTCTCAACCTTTTCTTCTAGGCATTAGGATTTTTAAAAGCTCCGCAGGTGATTCCAACAAACATGACAACCTCTGGTCTATATGGCATTAGGTAAATTATTTACCTTCCTTGCACTGTGTGTAAATACTAGCTAATTTTAAAGATCCCTACAGCCTGTAAACGTCTATGATTCTGTGATTGAAAATCATGCCAAACCACTGGGGACCATGGTCTCAGGTAACATCTAGCTCAACTGGCATAACATAGTTTATAAAGACAGTGTTCTACATTCGACCTTGGTGAGTAGCATCTGGGGTCTTAAAAGCCTGTGAGTAGCCATCTAAGATACTCCACTGGTCCCACCCCATCTGGAGCAAGGGAGAATGAAAAGAACCAGACACAAGGGAAAGATTAGTCCAAAGGACTAATGGACCACAACTACTACAGCCTCCACCAGACTGAGTCCAGCACAACTACATGGTGCCCGGCTACCACCACTGACTGCTCTGACCGGGACCACAATAGAGGGTCCTGGACAGAGCTGGAAAAGGATGTAGAACAGAATTCTAACACACACAAAAAAGACCAGATTTACTGGCCTGACAGAGACTGGAGAAACCCCGAGCGTTTGGTCCCGGACACTCTTTTAACTCAGTACTGAAGTCAATGAGGTTCATCCTTCAGCCAAAGATTAGACAGGCCATAAAACAAACAATAATACATGCAGCTCAACCATGTATATGAGACTAAATGGGCACACCAGCCCAGGGGCAAGGATGAGAAGGCAGGAGGGGACAGGAAAGCTGGACAAATGGAAATAGGGAACCCAAGGTCAAGAAGGGGAGAGTGTTGACACATCACATGGTTGGCAACCAATGTCACAAAACAATATGTGTATTAATTGTTTAACGAGAAACTACTTTGCTCTGTAAAACTTCATCTAATGCACAATTTTAAAAAAGGAAGAAAAGAAAATCATGCCAAACCGATTTATTTATTTACCTAGCCCACTCTTTATTTTATTTTATTAAATTTTATTTTATTTTTTGCTAGGCTAGGCTGGAATGTCAAGGTGTCAAATTATCTATCTTACTTTCTTTACAATATTTAGTAAAATTTCCCAGGATATCCTTGTAGATAAATAACATGATAGTTGTGTTTCGTGAATTTGCCACCTAACTGAACAGATATGCTTAGAGAGTGTGACTGTAATGGACTCTGTAGAATGGTCTCCCGTGAACCACCACAAGACTTGTTCTGTCCTTGACCTGATCTTGTTAACTTTTTTTAATCCAAAACTTAGGTAAGGAAGACAAGAAAGAAATGCCTATCAAATTTGGAAATAGCTCAAAGTTTAGGAGGGTTAATTAATTCAATACATAAAAGATTCAGGCACAGCTCTGATCAGAAAATTTATTACAATTATTACTGGTTTAAAATATTTCTACAATTCAGCAAGTTTACTCATTTTTGTTATTCTTTTATTAAATGCTACAGTGTTCTCCTGGAAGGGTAGTGGTGGAGGGGGACTGTAGTGTTTATCTCTAGTGTGAATCTAGCATGAAGAGCCCTAATCTCCACAAGAAATTTTGGAGCTTTTAGTGTAGTACTAATGGAGAAATAGACATGTCAGGTAGGGTCCAGAGTCAGTTGTTCTATGACTTTATTCCTATCAAGAAATGCAAATATAAAACACAGTAGTTTGTTGGATTTGGCTGCTTTAGGGCATCACAAAATGAAAGAAACATCACCCAGAACAGCGACGAGACAGGATACTACAGAAAGGCATTTATTAAAAACTCCCATGAACCACATGAAGTACAGGAGAATGAAGAACACCAAAGACACAAGGAAAGTAGTAGCCCAAGAGACAGAAAGGGCCACATAAACCAGAGACTTCATCAGCCTGAGACCAGAAGAACTAGATGGTGCCTGGCTACCACCAATGACCGCCCTGACAGGGAACACAACAGAGAATCCCTGATGGAGCAGCAGAAAGGTGGGGTGCAGAACTCAAATTCTAGTAAGAAGACCAGACTTAATGGTGTGACTGAGACTGGAGTTACCCCGGAAAGCACGGCCCCTCGATTCTCTATCAGCCCAGAACTAAAACAATTTCCGAGGCCAACTCTTCAGACAGGGATTGGACTGGACTGTGGGACATAAAGTGATACTCGTGAGGAGTGTGCCTCTTAGCTTAAGTAGATACAAGAGACCAAAGGGGCAGGTTCTGTCCAGAGGTGAGATGGGAAGGCAGAGAGGGTTAGGAGCTGGTTGAATGGACGTGGGGAATCAGGGATGGAGAGGAGTGTGCTGTCGCAGAATGGGGTGAGTGATTAGGGTCACATAACAATGTATGTATAAAATTTTGTATGGGAGACTAACTTGAAATGTAAACTTCATTTAAACTACAACAATAAAAAATTTTTTTAAAAAATTGTAAGGAAAAGAAAAAAAACTCCCATGAAGCAAAAGATGAGTCCAAAGGAGTAATGGACCACAAGTACCACAGCCTCCACCAGACGGAGTCCAGTACAGCTAGATGGTGCCCGGCTACCACCACTGACTGCTCTGATAGGGATCACAATATAGGGTCCCAGACAGAGCTAGAGAAAAATGTAGAACAAAATTCTAACTCACAAAAAAAGTTCAGACTTACTGATCTGACAGAGACTGGACAAACCCCGAGCATATGGCCCCCGGATACCCTTTTAACTCAGTACTGAAGTCACTCCTGAGGTTCATCTTTCAGCCAAAGATTAGACAGGCCCATAAATCAAAATGAGACTAACGGGGCACACCAGCCCAGGGGCAAGGACAAGAAGGCAGGAGGGGACAGGAAAGCTGATAATGGGGAACCCAAGGTCGAGAAAGGGAGAGTGTTGACATGTCGTGGGATTAGCAACCAGTGTCACAAAACAATATGTTTTTGTTTAATGAGAAACTAATTTGCTCTGTAAACCTTCATCCAAAGTACAATTAAAAAAACAAAACAAAAAACTCCCATGAAGTGATGGTGGAAGATCCAGATTCAGCAGCTTCTGCTAATAACTCATTAGAAGGCCTTGTGAGCGCCAGGGTAGACTTGCCCAAGGGCCTCAGAAACGCCTGGAGAGCTTGTCTTCAAAGGGCATGCTCACAGCTGATGATTCCTAAATTTGGGGTGAGCTCTTGAGACTCTGCTGTTTTTAACAAGTGCCCCCAACTGACTCTGAGAAATACTGTTGAAGAACTCACTTTGATTTGAATTTTGGCAGAGTTGTTTAAATGTATTGTTTGTTCCATAGTCAGTCTTCAATGTGAGTTTTTAAAAGTCCAGGTAGATTTAATTACCTTGAACTTAAAATCTAAACAGTTACATTATGTCAGATTCTCCATATCCCAATTCCCTATATTTCAGTTAGAAAATTACATACTCTTCCATTTCAATTTTTTTTTTCATTTTTAATGCTTCATTTTATATAGAGCTGCATCTGACCTAGTCGTAAGTACTGTAATTTATGTGTAGCAGAAGAGCAATCTATAACTGCCCTGTTGCTGCTGTTGCTGCTGCTGTGGGCCGGAAAATAAACGAGGATTAGATGATGTCTGATCACTTTCCATAGCACACGATGCACACGATGCACAGCAATTCAGAAGAAGCATAAAATGAGTCCTGCTGAGCAGCCCCTTAGATACCAGGTTGTTAACCGATGCTTTCCTTCTCTCCCTCATGTGTCTTCCTCATTAGTATCTGTGACTGAAGTGGATCAGCTAGGAGTGGCTCCTTGCAGCATAGAGGGAGGTGATTTTCTCACTCCGTCTGGAATCTGAAGTTGAATTCATAAGAACACACAATTTCAAAGACATGGGCTGTAGCGATTCCAGTTTCATCAAAGATAAGAAATCTCCGAAAGGTGAGTGCTGGGAATGCGCCTGTCTCCAAGAATGACAAGGGGAGCGCAAGCCAGACCGATCCTCTCCACTTTCCTCATTTACTCTCAGTGTTCTTCGGCTGCCCTGTGTGATTTTGTACAAGGCATCCTCACTGGAACTGAAGGTTAAGTATTGGGGTAACATAGGAAACGACCTTTAGGAATGTGTAGCTTTGAATTTATGATGTACCCTAAAAGTATTATCTAAGAGATATTATATGTTTGATTTAACTTCAGTTGAAAATGTACCAGTAGGAAACCTCCATTTCAAATCTGGTGGCAAAGAATAAGAAAGACTCTGTAAATTTATAGCTGTTTATTCAATACTCTTATAAATAGTTATTTATGTCCATGCCTATGTGACATGTAGTAGCCTCGCTGCATTTTTATTAGATTTTATAACTCAATGATCAAATTATTTCTTATAGCTATTCAACACAGAATTTCATGAGATTTGTCTGATGTTTTTCAAATATTCTAGATAGAATTTGGGGAATATTAGACCATCTGTTTCAAAAAAAAAGTGTATGTCTATATAGATGACATGCTTTCTACCTGCCCCCCCCCCACCCCGCCCAATATAATTAGAGGCTTAACTATTTCCTTTGTTTACTTTATGCTGAAGTTCTTTCTCATAGCTACTGGGATCTAGTTGAAACTCACCTGGGTGTTTAAGGGACCTAATCTCCACAAGCAAATTAAAATAAAAATAAGTAAATAAGCTGGGACAATTATATGAATAATTCGCTCTTAAACTCTGTTCCTTTGTAATCTAGGCTATAGATGATTTTCCCAATTTCTATTCCATATTTTGTTTTGGAGGTTTACTCAGGCTTAATTAAGGTGAAGCCTTTAGGTTGCAGAGTATTCTACATGAATTAGTGTGTGATGTTTCCTTTGGGGAATCAAATGTTGTTCGCACTCCCAGCTGACTTGTACTGGTGACTTAGCAAGCTATTCTCTGAAAGTACAAAAGGACTCCTGAGAAGCACCAACTCTTTCAAATCTTTAAGCACACCATGAAATAAATCTTTCAAAAGCTCCAACTGAACTAATCCCATAGCAGTAATTTATGGGCAGAGAGAGAATTATCTTTTCATATCTATCTAGGTTTAGGCACAGTTATTCCAAATCAGCCAAACTTCTTAGATTTAAAAAAGAAGGTCAAGCCCAACTTGTAGAAGTAAATTCTCTCTCTGTCTGAAATACTTTTCGACTTTTAAAAGGTTGCATGTAAATGGCAGTATTAGCTTAGATTTATGGATTACTTTTTACAAATAGCAGCTTTATTGGGATACAATTCACATACCACATAATTCACCTATTTTAAGTGTACAATTCAGTGATTTTTAGTATATTCCACAGAGTTGTGTAACCATCACCACTATCAATTTTAGAACGTTTTCATCACCTTCTCATAAAACCCCATGAAGAGTCACTCCCCCCACCCGCCCCCGCCAGCGCCAACCCTAGGTAATCCCTCTTCTACTTTCTTTCTCTATGGATTTGCCTGTTCTGGACATTTCTTATAAATGCAGTCATGTAAGATGTAGTCTTTTGTGACCGGCTTCTTTCATTTAGCATAATGTTTCTAAGGTTCGTCGTATGTATCAGTATATGATGTATCAGCACTAAATTCCTTTTTATTGCTGAATAATATTCCATTGTATGGATATAGCACATTTTGTTTACCTATTCATCAATTGATGGACATTTGGGTCGTTTCCACTTTTTGACTATTATGAATAATGTTTCTATGAACATCCACGTACAAGTTTTTACGTGAACATATGTTTTCAGTTCTCTTGGTTAGGAGTGGAATTGCTGGGTTATATGGCAGCTCTTACAGGAGCCCTGGTGGCACAGTAGTTAAGCACTCAGGCTTCTAACTGAAAGGTCAGTGGTTCGAACCCACCAGCCACTCCTCAGAAAAAAGATGTGGCAGTCTGCTTCTGTAAAGATTACAGCCTTGGAAACCCTCTGGGGCAGTTATGCTCTGTCCTATAGGGTCACTATGAGTCAGAATCGAAGGCAATGGGTTTTTTATTTTTATTTTTTAATAGTAAATCTTGACTAGAAGGCACACAACAACAACATGGTAACTCTATGTTTAACATTTTGAGGAACTTCCAAACTGTCTTCTCAAGTTGCTGTACCATTTTACATTCCCCCCAGCAGCATAGGAAAGTTACAATTTCTCCACATCCCCACCAACACTGATTATTGTCTGTTTTTTTGTTATTATTATTAAGCCATCCTAGTGACTGTGGGACACAAGCTCACTATAGTTTTGATTTGCATTTCCCTAATGGTTAATGACATTGAACATCTTTTTCATGTGTTTCTTGGCCATTTGTTTATCTTCTTTGTAGAAATGTCTATTCAGATCCTTTGTCCATTTTTAATTATTTATCCTTATATTATTGTGATGTAAGAATTCTTTATATGTTCTGGATGCAAGACCCTTATCAGATATATGGTTTGAATTCTATCACATTCTGTGGGTCTTTTCACTTTCTTAATGCTGTCTTTTGATGCATGAAACTTTTAAATTTTGATGAAGTCCAATTTATCTGTTGATTTCTTTTGTTGCCCTTTAGCTAAAGATTAGACAGGCCCATAAAACAAAATGAGACTAAAGGGGCACACCAGGCCAGGGGCAAGGACTAGAAGGCAAGAGGGAACAGAAAAGCTGGTAATAGGGAACCCAAGGTCGAAAACGGAGAGCGTTGACATGGCGTGGGGTTGTTAACCAATGTCATAAAACAATATATGTACTAACTGTTTGATGAAAAGCTACTTTGTTCTGTAAACTTTCATTTAAAGTACAATAAAAAAAATCTCTTTAAGCACTGCTTTAGCTTCATTCTATAACTTTTGGTATGTTGTGTCTTCATTTTTATTCATCTCAAAATATTTTGTCATTTCCTTTGTGATTTCTTCTTTGACCCATCGACCATTTAGGAGTGTGTTGGATTTCTCAATTTTTTTTCTGTTATTGATTTCTAATTTCATTTCACTGTGGTTAGAGAAGATACTCTGTATGATTTCAGTTCTTTTCAATTTATTGAGGCTTGTATTATGGTCTAGCATATGGTCTATCCTGGAGAATGTTCCATGTACACTTGAGAAGAATGTGTATCCTGCTGTTGTTGGGTATCATGTTATATAGATGTCTGTTAGGTCTACTTGGTTTATAGTGTTGTTGAAATCTATTTCCTTGTTGATCTTGTGCCTAGTTGCTCTATCCATTATTTATTTATTTTAAAAAAATTATATTTTATTATGTTTTCGGTGAAAGTTTACACAGCAAATTAGGCTCCCATTTGACAGTTTCCACACAAACTGTTCAGTGACATCAGTTACATTTTTCACAATGTGTCAACATTCTCTTTGAGTTCTGGTTGTTCTGTTTCCAGTACTCTAGTTTCCCTTCCCCCTTATCTTCTTATCTTTGCTTTAGAGTAATTGTTGACCTCATATAGATGGTTTTTCAATGGAGCACCATATGTCTTAGGCTGGGTTCTCTAGAGAAACAAAACCAGTGAAGTGTATAAATATATATAGAGAGAGATCTATATCAAGGAAATGGCTCATGCGATGTAGAGGCTGGAACGTTCCAAGTCCAAGGATCAGGATAGAGGCTTCTCCTGATGCATGTAGCCACAGGGGCTGGTGAACCCAAGATCAGCAGGTTGGAGAGCAAGACTTTTGTTCACAGGCTGTGAAGACTGATGAATCCCAAGATCAGCAGGCAAGACCACAAGGCTTCTCCTGATTCACGTAGCCGCGGGGGCTGGCGAACCCAAGATCAGCAGGTCAGAGAGCAGGGCTTTTGCTCACAGGCTGTGAAGATCAACGAATCCCGAGATCAGCAGATAAGCTGCTACCTCAAGTCTCAAGAACTGGAGGTCAGATGAACAGGAGGCAGCTGCAGGATCCAGAGCAGGCAAAAGCCAGAATTTCCACTTATATTCAGATACAGGCCACACGTCCAAGGAAACTTCCTTTCAACTGACTGGCTACTCACAGCAGATCCCATCATAGGGGTGATCGCATATAAACACTGAGAATCATGGCCCAGCCAAGTCGACACACAAGCTTAACCATCACAACCATACTCATGGGTAATATCCTTTATTTTGTGTGCCAATCTGTTTTTTCACTAAAAGGTGACCTCGGGATAATTTGGTTCAAGGTTTAAAGAGTATCTCAAGGTAATAGTCTCAGGGAATCCTCCCAGTCTCAACTGGTCCAGTAAGTCTCATGCGTTATCTGTTATTGAAAGTGCAGTATTGAAATATCTACCTGTTATTGTTGAATTCTGTATTTCTTCCTTCAATTCTGACAGTTTTTGCTTCATATATTTTGGGCCTTTGTTGTTAGGTGCATATATGTTTATAGTTGTTTTATTTTCCAGATGGATTGACTCTTTGCTAATTATAAAATGCCCTTCTTTATGTCTGGTAACATTTTTTGTTAAAGTCTGTTTTTTCTGACGTTAGTACAGCTACTCCAGCTTTCTTATTGTTGCTGTTTGCATGATATACCTTTTTTCATTTTTTTCCTTTTAACCTATTTGTATCTTTTAATCTAAAGTGTGTCTCCTGTAGACAATATATAGTTGGATCATTTTTTTTTAATACATTCTGATAATCTCTGCCTTTTGATTGAGTTGTTTAATCTAGTAGCACTTAATGTTATTATTGATATAGTTGGATTTAAGTCTGCCATTTTACTTTCTGTTTTCTATATTTCTCGTGTATTTTTGTTTCTCTGTCCCTGTGTACTTCTTTCTTTTGCATTAAGCAAATATTTTCCAGTGTAACCTTTTAATTTCAAAAACGATTTTTTCACTATATTTTTGAGTAATTTTCTTAATAATTGTTTTAGAGCTTACCATATGTATCTTATCAGAACTGATTTCAGATTTTCACTTAATTCAAATAAGATATAGAAATGTTACTCCTGTATAGCTCTAT